TCGGCCTTCACCTGCTGATAGGTAAGACATTTAGCTACAAATTATGCAACATCCTTCTTTATTCCATTCCACCAATACTGACATCTCAAATTGTGATACATTTTGGTACCACCCGAATTGCAAAGCGGGAAGTATGAAACTCCCGTAAGACATCCTCACGACAAACTGTGGGAACAACCAACAAACCTCTAAACCGTAGACCTCCATCTGCATGTAAAGTCCAATCCTTCACGGTCTCGCCACTAGAAATCAGAGTGTAAATGGCATCCAAATTTGAGTCCTGTCTCTGTGACTCAATCACCCGTCTAACAAGAGTGGGTTGAGCCACGAAACTAAACAAGAATGCTGACTCACTGCTATCATCATCAAAGCAATACAATCCCATTTTAGCCAAATCTTCCAGCATTTTCCATTTCCGAATGGCTAAACTAGCCAAAGTCCCATGAGATTTCCGGCTTAAAGCATCAGCTACCACATTTGCCTTGCCAGGATGATACTGCAAATCAAAGTTGTAGTCTTCTAAGAATTCAACCCATCGCCTCTGTCTGTTGTTTAAGTCCTTTTGGGAGAAAAGGTACCTGAGACTCTTGTGGTCCGAGAACACCTCAAATCTCTCACCATATAAATAGTGTCTCCAACACTTCAAAGCAAATACAACTGCCGCTAACTCTAAGTCATGAGTAGGGTAGTTAAGCTCGTGAGTCTTCAACTGTCGAGACCCATAAGCCACTACTCTATCATCTTGCATCAGTACACAACCCAAACCATCACGTGAGGCGTCACAATATATCACATAACCCAAGCCACACTCAGGTATCACCAACACCGGAACCGTAGTCAACCTTGTTTTCAACTCTTGAAAGGATGACTCACAGGCCTCATTCCATGCAAACTTGATCCCTTTCCTGGTTAATCTGGTCATAGGAGCTGCCAAACGGGAAAAATCCTTAGTCAATCTATCGATAATGACTCATACGGCTTCATTTCCCCTCCGTAACCTAGGAAGACTCGTCACAAAATCCATTGCTATCTCCTCCCATTTCCACTGCGCTACCGGCAATGGCTGTAATAAACCAGCTGGTCTCTGGTGCTCGGCCTTCACCTGCTGACAGGTAAAACACTTAGCTACAAATTGTGTAACATCCTTCTTCATTCCATTCCACCAATACTGACGTCTCAAATTGTGATACATTTTGGTACCACCCGGATGAACTGCAAAGCGGGAAGTGTAAAACTCCCGTAAGACGTCCTCACGACAAACTGTGGGAACAACTAACAAACCCCTAAACCGTAGACCTCCATTTGCATGTAAGGTCCAATCCTTCACGGTCTCGCCACTAGAAATCAGAGTGTAAATGGCATCCAAATCTGAGTCCTATCTCTGTGACTCAATCACCCGTCTAACAAGAGTGGGTTGAGCCACGAGACTAAACAAGAATGCTGACTCACTGCTATCATCATCAAAGCAATACAATCCCATTTCAGCCAAATCTTCCAGCATCTTCCATTTCCGAATGGCTAAACTAGCCAAAGTCCCACGAGATTTCCGGCTTAAAGCATCAGCTACCACATTTGCCTTCCCAGGATGATACTGCAAAGCAAAGTTGTAGTCTTCTAAGAATTCAACCCATCGCCTCTGTCTGTTGTTCAAGTACTTTTGGGAGAAAAGGTACTTGAGACTCTTGTGGTCCGAGAACACCTCAAATCTCTCACCATATAAATAGTGTCTCCAACACTTCAAAGCAAATATAACTGCCGCTAACTCTAAGTCATGAATAGGGTAGTTAAGCTCGTGAGTCTTCAACTGTCGAGACCTATAAGCCACTACTCTATCATCTTGCATCAGTACATAACCCAAACCATCACGTGAGGCGTCACAATAGATCACATAACCCAAGCCACGCTCAGGTATCACCAACACCGGAGCCGTATTCAACCTTATTTTCAGCTCTTGAAAGGATGACTCACAGGCCTCATTCCATGCAAACTTGATCCCTTTCCTGGCCAATCTGGTCATAGGAGCTGCCAAATGGGAAAAATCCTTGGTCAATCTATCGATAATGACCCATACGACTTCATTTCCCCTCCGTGACCTAAGAAGACTCGTCACAAAATCCATTACTATCTCCTCCCATTTCCACTGCGCTACCGGCAATGGCTGTAATAAACCAGCTGGTCTCTGGTGCTCGGCCTTCACCTGCTGACAGGTAAGACACTTAGCTACAAACTGTGTAATATCCTTCTTCATTCCATTTCACCAATACTAACGTCTCAAATTGTGATATATTTTGGTACCACCCGGATGAACTGCAAAGCGGGAAGTGTGAAACTCCCGTAAAAGTCCTCACGACAAACTATGGAAACAACCAACAAACCCCTAAACCGTAGACCTCTATCTGCATGTAAGGTCCAATCCTTCACGGTCTCGCCACTAGAAATCAAAGTATAAATGGCATCCAAATCTGAGTCCTATCTCTATGACTCAATCACCCGTCTAACAAGAGTGGGTTGAGCCACGAGACTAAACAAGAATGCTGACTCACTGCTATCATCATCAAAGTAATACAATCCCATTTCAGCCAAATCTTCCAGCATCTTCCATTTCCGAATGGCTAAACTAGCCAAAGTCCCATGAGATTTCCGGCTTAAAGCATCAGCTACCACATTTGCCTTCCCAGGATGATACTGCAAATCAAAGTTGTAGTCTTCTAAGAATTCAACCCATCGCCTCTGTCTGTTATTCAAGTCCTTTTGGGAGAAAAGGTACTTGAGACTCTTGTGGTCCGAGAACACCTCAAATCTCTTACCATATAAATAGTATCTCCAACACTTCAAAGCAAATACAATTGCCGCTAACTCTAAGTCATGAGTAGGGTAGTTAAGCTCGTGAGCCTTCAACTGTCGAGACCCATAAGCCACTACTCTATCATCTTGCATCAGTACACAACCCAAACCATCACGTGAGGCGTCACAATAGATCACATAACCCAAGCCACGCTCAAGTATTACCAACACCGGAGCCGTAGTCAACCTTTTTTTCAACTCTTGAAAGGATGACTCACAGGCCTCATTCCATGCAAACTTGATCCTTTTCCTGGTCAATCTGGTCATATGAGCTGCCAAACGGGAAAAATCCTTCACAAATCTCCGATAATAACCCGTTAGGCCAAGGAAACTCCGGATCTCAAAGATATTCTTGGGTTGCTCCCAACTCAAAACTGCCTCTATTTTTTAAGGATCAACTGAAACCCCACCTTCCGAGACAACATGTCTTAAAATTTTCACCTCTTGTAGCCAAAACTCACACTTTTCATACTTGGCGTACAAACAGTGCTCCCGTAGAATCTGCAACACTATACTCAAATTGATCTCGTTCTCCTCCCGAGTCCATGAATACACAAGAATATCATCCACGAAAACTACCACAAACTGATCCAAGTAATCATATAAGACACGGTTCATTAAATCCATGAATGCTGCCGGCGCATTAGTTAAACCAAAAGGCAAAACAAGAAACTCATAGTGTCCATACCGCGTACGGAAAGCAGTTTTTGGAATATCCTCCTCTCTAACTCGCAACTGATAATAACCTGACCTCAAGTCAATCTTCGAAAAACAACTGGCTCCCCTCAATTGATCAAATAAATTATCTATCCTTGGCAAAAGGATATTTGTTCTTGATAGTGGCATGATTCAACTTTCGGTAATCAATGCACAACCTCAAAGAACCATTTTTCTTTTAGCGAACAAGACCGGTGCACCCCACGGTGACACACTCGGCCGGATAAAACCTTTCATCCTCAAATCATCAAGTTGTTTCTTTAATTCTTTTAATTCAATCAGTGCTACACGATACGGTGCCATAGAGATTGGTGCGGTACTAAGCATCAAATCAATAGCAAATTCCATCTCTCGGTGTGGAGGCAACTCAGTCAAGTCCTTCGGAAACACATCCAAAAAATCACGCACAACCGCTGGATAATCAACCCCATAAAACTCAACGTCATCATCGGCGAAAAGACTAGCCAAGAAGAATGTCTGCCGATCCTAACCCTTAACACCATAAAATGAATGAGTGAGAGGATCGCACCGATCTTCCACAAAACAGAAACAATCCCCATCCGGGGTACACACTGAAACTCTACTCCTGAAACAATCAATGACAGCTCTGAAGGATGACAACCAGTCCATCCCAAGAATGATGTCAAATCCCGTCATCTCGAGAAGGATGAGATCGAACTCAAGAACACGTCCGGCAATTGTCAAACTCTACTAAGAGTAACTGAACCCCCGATAGGCGTGTCAACACAAAGCGGTCTGTCTACCTGACTGACCTCCAAACCCAATGCCCGTGCAAATGATGAAGCAATGAATGAATAAGAAGCACCGGAATCAAACAATACACGAGCCCAAGAATGGGACACAAGAAACATACCCCTAACAACTGAAGGACTGGATGGTGACTCAACTGGAGTGAGTGCAAACACGCGACCCTGAGTCCTCTGCCCCTGAGAACTGCCTGCCTGATAGCCAGACTGCTGAGTGGGTGCACTCGAAGAAGCTCCCCTACCAGGTCGAGAACTCTGGGCTGACATAGTTGACTGAGACGGCTGAGGTGGTGGTGGTAGTCGAAACCCTGACTGAACTGTGGTAGATTGCATCTGCCTCTGCTGTGAACCTCCACCTCTGCCCAAACCACTGCCCCGTTGTGGGCAATCTTTCACCCTATGACCCTGCTTGCTACACTCGAAATATCCACCAGACGCCACCTGAATCTGAGTACACTGGGACTTGTGATGCCCTAGCTGCCCACGCTTGAAACAAATCATCTGAGCTACCTATGTCTGAGTGCATTGGGACTTGTAATGTCCCAGCTATCCGCATCTAAAACAAGTAACATTCGGTGTAGAAGACCCCACGGACACTGAAGCTGTGGGGGCGGATCTGACTGGCTGCTGTCCTCTGAACCCTGACTGCTCATGCTTATGCTTCTTACTTGATTAACCCTCGGAAAAAGCACTCATACCCCTGTTGTGCTTGTAGGATTCCTTGATAGCCTTACTGTCCCTGCTTTCAGCCTCAACTACTAAGGCCTTTCGCACTGCTTTTGCATACTCTGTCGGTTCTGAGGCAGCTACAATTGGCCTGATGGTGAGATGAAGACCATCAACAAACTTCTCTATCTTTCCTTCCTCATCATTAGCAATCCCCGGTGTAAACCTCAAAAGCGATGTAAACTTATTCTCATACTCTGTAACTGTCATGCTTCCTTGCTTCAACCCATCAAACTCCTTCTTTAGTTCCCTCCGCTTAGGCGCCGAAAAGTACTTCTCATAGTACAACTTCTTAAAAGTAGCATATGTCATAGTATCCAGAATATGGGTGTGAGAAACGGTCTTCCACCAAATCTCAGCATCGCCCATAAAATTGTAAGTAACCAATGTAATCTTCAACTTGTCCGTTGCTAAATTCATGGCATTAATATGCTTCTCCACCCTATCCATGAAACTATCCGCAACAAGCGGATTTGGACCGCCCTCAAATAGAGTTGGCATCAACTTCACAAACTTTGCAATGTGGTAAAGAGTATCATCTAACTCATTTTTCTTTGGAGGTGGTGATGGTGGTGCCGGTGGTGGCACAAACTGTGACGATGATGCACCTGTCAGTCGATATGCATAAAAAATAGCCTAATGAACGACTAACCTCAACTGCTCCCTATTTATTTGAAAAGGTGGGTCAACGAGCCCCCTCGCTTGTCCCTCTCTTGGCGGGACCAAGTCACGCAATAAGATATCTTCCTCTTCTTGCTCTTGATCCCTTTCCATGGGATTGGAGCTAGAACTTTCCCCAGGATCCCTTCGTGTTGGCATGACGCTATAAGAAAAAGGAAATGGATCAATAACGATGACACTAAAATACGCACAAGAACGGAATTCTCACATGAATGACTTGACAAATATGGAAACACATAAACACCTTCCTTGCTCCCAGAACACCCAACTAATGAGAAACATGATCATGCTAATAATATACAACAACATTAAGCACTTAGCCCGTAATCATATAAGCAATTAAACAATTAAGCATGCCTTTCAAATAATTAAGCACCTTAACACATAGGCATATAAGCATACAATCACGTAAGCAATTAAGCAAGTAAGCAAATAACTCAACTCCCTATGTAATCCTAGGTAGGCCTTTACCCGTCGTCCTAATGGTATTTGAACCATTGCTCTGATACCAAATTTGTAACGACTCGAAAAGATACCAAAATAATAATAATAAAATCTATAAAAATTTCGGCATGACCTCCGCAAAAAATGTCCCTCAACAACCTGTAGAATTACAAAAATAAATGCAATGGCCTCACTTGGCCTTAAATCTAACTTATCATGTCCCAACGCACAATTCAAATATTATACTACATTCCCAAAATGGTTACATACATACAAAAGTCCCGTTCTTCCATCTCATCCAAACAAGGGACACATCCATTACTTCAAGTTACAGTCCATAATTGTAGCTAAAATTTTAAAGTTCATAGCTTACAAAATTATATCAACTAAACTAAAGTTTCACAAAATATTTAAGATTACATTTACAAAATATATATCAAAGTTCTAATACAAAAGATAACAAAAATCAAAATAGATCCCCAAGCTCGTTTAAACTTATGGTGGATCATCGTCCGCCACCTCTTTTCCATATCCTGAAAAATGTTAAAAATAATGGGGTGAGCATAAGCTCAGTAGGAAGTGTCTAAGATACACTTCTAATGACCCCGTGAATCTATACTATGAATAGATAAAAAGTGAACGAGATCATGCTATCGGGAAACACACATTCTCAACCACAATAACATGTAGCAAATATCAACCAATCACAAATTTACCACAATGTCATAAAGTGCAATGTTATGCAAGTGTCACTCCCCATTTCCGAAACAATTCCGTTTCAACAACCAAACCGTTAGTACAGTCCGACCCAAGGCACCTCCATGGCATCACGAAAGGAAGGTTGGTTAACTATCCACAACCACAAGGCACCTCCAAGGCGTCGCATCCGGCCTAGTTAACTCAACTACATTCCCTTTTAAACTACACCAACATCACGGACCACTAGGCGCCTCCTAGGCGTCCGGTTTTCGCAACACTTTTAGAAAATATTTTCCCCAAAACAATTTTATTTGTTCTAACAAATATTTTTCCCCCTTTCTCTTTCCCAATGGATGCATGAATGTTTCATACTTCAAATCATTAATTTAACTATATGTTTTCACACATTTCCATTTACATCATCATAACAATTTAATGAAAATTTCTAAACATTCATTTCCTTTATTTATTTATTTATTTATAACCATAGCATCCATTTTTCCTCAAGACAATAAATAAATAAATAATCATGGAACATACAACACATCAAGCACTAAGCAGCTCATTTACCGTAATGAAAATAGACATGTATATGAACTCAAATAACACAAGGAACACAATTATCATTGTAATTACAAAGAACTACAACAACAACAAGCTAAGTAATTAAAATTTAGCATGCTTAGAATCAAATTTAAGGGGAAAAAATTCACCAAAAGCCAAGAAATTGTAGATTAGAACACCCCTACCTCAAATTGATGAAAACTCCCAATTTAAGCTCAAGAACCCTAGAATTTCGAACTCCTTGGAGTGCACCAAATGATGATTGGCTCCTATCAAATTGACGGCCTCGACGAGTTCAACAACTTTGCTTTATAATGTTCTATCAAATTTCAAAGGGATAGAGCTAGATCAAGCTTTGAATGGTGAAAGCAAAAATAAAACAAATATTCTAGATAGAGAATATGGAAACTGGAGAGAGAGAGAACCAAAATGCGTATCTATAATGACCTTATGGCCTTTTTGATGTTTTAATATAGTGGTGGGGCCCACTTGTTTTTTTTTTCTTTTTCTTTTAACATTGATTATATATATATATATATATATATATATAAACATTACATTGTAGCTATGTTGTCTTTTTGTTAGTCCACGTCTCTATATTTGATTTTAATATATATATATTTTTTTCTTACCTTATAGAAAAATTATTTTTATTTTTATTTTCTTATCTTACATAAAAATATATAAATTCCTAAATTTATCTTACATAAAAATTACTTGATGTATTCCGGTTACTAGTCACCCTAATGACACCATGGCAACGTTTCTGCAAAATTAATTTTATTTTTTCAAATTTCCCATTCTGTCACCATTCACTCAATAATAATTATACAAATGTCTCCCAAAAACACCCATCAGTTCTATCAATCAGACACTCAAAAGTCTATAAAAATGACAAGACTCAAAAAAACAGTCTTCAAATTTACAAATCAAGCCTTTAATCGCGATGAAAAGCCTATAAAAAAAAGTGCCTTTAGTTGCAAATTTCTGCAGCCACACAGACTTATTGCTGCTTTATGACTTTTCCAAGGTGCTGCTTATGGGTCAAGGGGCAGAGACAACCTTCTAATACGTTAATGCATCAATTAGCTTGACTTGAGGAAATATAATTTTTTAGACTTCACAGAATCTGGATTTACAAATTTTTGATATTGAAATTTGTGAATGTTAGATATTATTTTTCAGACTTGACATAATCTGAATTTACAAATTAGAAAGACTAAAGTCGACTTTTCTAGATTTGAATATTATTCAAAAATGCCAATTAATTTCTGCTGGGTGTGAAGGTCCAAGATTTATTACAACTCATGTCAAGAAGTCAAAGTCAACTAAAGAAATATAATTCAGGTAACTTAGAAAATCTTCTAACCTTCTTTTGATCAGTCAATGACACGGGTTGACCGGCCTATTATATTACATTAATAGATAATAGAGCTTTCCATGTACAAACTGCTTTTGGTTATGGCTTCCCTGAAGGCAGGCTCTATGAATCTAATGTTGCTTCTTTCTTTCACATTGATCTTATGCTGCCTTGGATTCTGTTCCTCCCTTGTAGCAGGAGCAAGCACGATGCGACGCGGTGATGAACTCAACTCATCCTCTGCTAGTCTTCTTGTTTCTGAAGGTGGGGTCTTCACCTTAGGATTCTTCACTATCCCCATCGGGGACGTTTTTGGTTATTTAGGAATATGGGACACCGACGACAAAGAAAATAAAGTATGGATTGCCAATCCCAACACGCCTATTGTGAACAATATCGGAGTTCTGACCATTGATGGCAAAGGAAGGTTGAAGGTTATGAGTGGAGGGAGCACTGTTGTGAATATTAATGATGAAGTTGGGAGTGGAAATGTTAGTGCCACACTAGAAGATTCGGGTAACTTTGTGGTGAAGGATGAAAGTGATAACAGGATTTTGTGGCAGAGCTTTGATCATCCTACCAGCATGCAATCGCAAGGTATGAAGCTTGGTTTTAATCTCACAAGTGGGCAGAATTGGACTCTAACTTCTTGGCTAAGTGATTTTTACCCGTCCACCGGGACTTTCACTTTGAGCTGGGAATCCACCCAAGAGTCTGGGCAGTTGATCATTCATCATCGAGGAGAGCGTTATTGGACTAGTGGGGAATTGAAAGATGGGAATTTTGAACATATGCAATTAAATGATTCATATTTCAATCACAGGTTTAGGTATGTTTCAGCTAGTGATGGGAGCTACTTCACTTTTTCTCCAACATCTTTGGCCATTCCACCCAAGTTGGAGCTGACACCAAATGGGCGAATTGTTGACAATTTGTCTAAGGCTAACCTGACCTCATATGAGTTTTGTTACGGTTATGAATCAGACGATGGTTGTGTGAGATCTACTGTGCCGTTGCCTGAGTGCAGGAGACATGGTGATAAGTTCCACGAAAGGCAAGCAGCCTTTAGTGGCAACACTCGAATTCGTAACGAAAATCAGAGTCTCGGTGTCGGTGATTGTATGAAAATGTGCTGGAACGATTGCAATTGTGTTGGCTTTATGGAATTGTTTAGCGTTAGAGTGGGCTGTGCGTTTTGGGGTGGGAATATAAATTATACAGCAGATGAACCTAATTTGGGGGCAATGTACGTGCTGGTTCCAGCACATCGGTCCGCAGACGCACCAAGTTCACCCATACAATCACCAAGTGCACCCATACAATCACCAACTTCATCCAATGGTAAGTCTACTTTTATCTCAATTAATTTCTAAATATCTGCATTGTGTTTCCAACGCATTGTCTCTTATACTGAGCTGGCTATAATGATATAAGTAGCTTAGTTGATTTATTTTTTTTCACCAAAGCATTTCATTTAACTAGATCGAATAAGATTGCTTAAACTTACCTGGTTACCTGGCCTACACGATTTGTGAGAAAATAAGTTATGTGTTGGGCAAATTTAGGTGTCAAAACTTGTGAATTGAGTTATATAGACTATTTAATCTGAAAATAAAAAATATAAAAATGAACTAGCTTTTAAAGCTTGATAACCCCAAATGGAGTAAAACGCTAGTACTCGATGTTAGTCTCACCTATAGGCGCACAAAAACACACGCATGCACACAAAATAATCATTTAATTGATGTCAAGACAGAGTACAATGCTTCTCAACATCATTAATTTCAAATTTTATTTGGTCATATCCATCATGCCCAATAAACTCATTTTTGATTCACAATTTCGATTCATTTTTGTCCATTCACAGTTTCAATTACCTTTAACATTTTTATTAGTGGTGGCAAAATGGGTCAGGAACTATCAACCTGCCCATATTCGTCCGCCTTTTGATGGTTATGGGTGAACCATATTTAATTTGAGAGTTAAGATGGGTTGAGTAATTTTTAACCACTTAATTTGAGGGTCAAGATGAGTTGAATACCATATTCAACCCATATTTCATCCATCACATAATAAACACACAACACACATCTATTTTATATTGCACTCAACTCATTTCTTTCTCTAAAATTCTCTCTCACAATCATCTCTCTCTCAATTTGTCTCTTATCAATCCCCTCTTTAAGTTTCTCTCTCTAGAAACTTCTTCTAAAAAAAGTAAATAATTTTAAAAATTTTAAAACCTTTTGAGAAAAAAATAATTTAAAAATTATAAATAATTTAAAAAATAATAAATAAATAAATAATAATTAATAAAAAAAATTTAAAAAAATTACTATTATAGTGTTGGGTGGCCCCATTCCCACCTTTCTCCTACTCCTCTGCCCTTTCACGTTATTCATTACCTCAACCTTTCTTTGTGTCACAAAAAACATAAATAATTGAATATGATACTACAATTTTAGACATTTCATAGGTTTTTTTTCGTTTTTTGTTTTTTTTTTTTTTATTTTGTACACTCTACCAAAGACACTAGGTAATGTCCAACATTTCAAGAGTTTAGATAGGAGGAAATTAAGTTTTTAATAATAATTTTTATAACTAATTAAATTTTCATTAGTTATTTAAAATAAAAAAAAATAATAATAAAAAAAAAAAGATAATTTGGATTTTTTTAATTTTTTTACAAGAATAATACCTTCTTCTTTTTTCTTATAAGTTTCGTACATTTCAATCCATGAAATAATAATTTTTTGTATCTTTCTTTAAATTTTGAATGCTAATCAAGTGCATGTTCAAACATTTATTTACTTTCATTTTATATCTTTCACTATTAATTTTTATCTAAACAAATTATAAACTAATAACAATAACTCTCATGCACACCAGTAAGGCAAAGTTTTCATCATCTATCTACGAGCAAGTGAATGGTCTCAGAATGAGATACTGTACTAGGGGACATGGAATACAGGTTCTTTGCATTAATTGTAAACTAACAACCCAATTATATTAGATTGAAGATTCATGCGACACTCTAATGTAATGTGTTGTACTTGTACCTCTCAATATAAATGCATATTACCTCCACATACAGGTTTATTTATTTTTGAAATAATTAAGTTGCGTTTTCTTAAGACACACATAATGAATAATCAAAACAGATAATATATGTTAAATCATGCTAACATTTAATAAAAAAAAAAAATTAATAATAATTAATAGATCTACAGGTCATAACGGGTTGACCCTGTCCATTTTTAACCCGTTCTGAGCGGGTTGAATATGGGTCTTGACCCATGTTAACCTGCCCATTTTTAACCCAACCCAAACCCGACTCAACCCGCCCATTTGCCACCCCTAATTTTTATCTGATCCAAAAGAGGCACAATTTGAACATTTATCACTAGTCAGGACACTATTGTTTTATCCGCAGAAAATGAAGAGAACAATTTTGGCAAATTCTACTTTACAATTTTTTTTTTTTCGAAAGGTAATTCTACTTTACAATTATTTTTTTTTCGGAATGCAGGAGAGAAGAAATGGATATGGATTGTCACTGTTGTAGTAGTCGCAGTTCTTATGCTTCTTTTTGGCCTCTTATGCTTTTTAAGAAGACGACTAAAAGGTACATTGCTAACAAATACTAATAAATAGGTTGCATATATTGTAATTTTTTTCATTAATCTCTATATATTATTTTTATGTAATGAGAAGTTTGGTTTTGTATTTTATATTCAAAATAGGGAATAATGAGGAGAGAGTTGTTCTTGAACATATGACACCAAATGAATATATGAACATAGATGAACTTGAACATGATGGGAACAAGGGTCACGACATCGAGGGTCACTCACCCTTGAAGTTATTTAGCTTTGCTTGTATCAGGGATGCTACAAGTTCCTTCGCATCAGAATGTAAGCTTGGAGAGGGCGGTTTTGGACCTGTTTACAAGGTACATTATGGATCTAAAGTTGAGTTCAAGTTTTTGATTTTATAGGATTACTCTGTTTATTAGCATAGATCAAAAGTTGAGTTCTCAGGTAATGAACTTCTATTCCAGGGAAAATTGCCTACGGGACGGGAAATAGCTGTAAAGCGACTTTCAAGAAGTTCGGGACAAGGATTGGTGGAGTTCCAAAATGAGCTCATTCTCATAGCCAAACTCCAACACATGAATCTAGTGCGGCTTCTAGGTTGTTGCATTCAAGGAGATGAGAAAATGTTGGTATATGAATACATGCCAAACAAAAGTTTGGACTCCTTTCTCTTTGGTAAGAAATCCCTTTTATTTCTCTAGTGTATATCTGCTTTATTTTCAAGTGTAATTGGTTAATAACTTTCTTATCTTTGCCCAAAAAATTAAAAAGTATGTTACCATATTTTGCACTTCATTTTGAAACAGATACAACTAAGAAGGAGCAATTAACATGGGAAAGACGCCTTAGCGTTGTTGAAGGAATTGCTCAAGGACTACTTTACCTTCACAAGTATTCAAGAGTGAGGATAATACATAGAGATTTGAAAGCTAGTAACATATTACTTGATGAAAACATGAATCCCAAAATTTCTGATTTTGGTATGGCCAGAATTTACAAGCATAATGTATCAGAAGCTAATACAAATAGAGTTGTTGGGACGTAGTAAGTATTGAATAAATTTATTTATACATGTTTTGATGGGTGTGAAGTTTAAACCTCACAAGTTTATTAATCATTACATACTTACACTATTAATTATATTGTTGGTAGTGGTTACATGGCTCCTGAGTATGCCATGGAAGGAATTTTCTCGGTTAAATCTGATGTCTTCAGTTTTGGAGTACTAATGCTTGAAATTGTGAGTGGTCGAAGGAACAACAGCTTTCATGACATTGAGGGTCCACTTAACCTAGTAGGATTCGTAAGTAATACAAATGTGGCTATTATTATTATTTTTGTTGCTAAATAGGAGTTGTGTGTTTGTTTCCAACATTTTAACTGATAATTTTATAATCACAGGCATGGGAATTGTGGAACAAGGATGCTGCTCTAGAGCTTGTGGATCTAACACTAAGGGGTTCATATGTTGAACAACAGTTGTTAAGATGCATTCATGTCGGTCTCTTATGTGTAGAAGACCATGCGATGGATAGGCCAACTATGCTAGAAGTTATTTCCATGTTAACAAATGACAGCATGGCTTTGCCAATGCCTAAGAAACCGGGCTTTATAACGAGAAGCAGAGTGGCTGAGGAAGACGTACACAAAAGTAAGCAAGAAAATTATTCATTAAATGGGCTTTCCATCTCTGTCCTAGATGCGAGATAAAGCTATAGATTTGAAGAGTTCCCAATCAGATTGGCAACGTAGCACTGAAGAGAGCATGATTTTATCTCGATTATTTTCTGTTGGTGATTTTGTTTTACACATGTTATAGTGAAATATTCACATTCGAGACCAACAGAAAAATTGAGATGGCGTCTTTCAAATCTCTTTTCTTGAAATGCATCAAGGGCACTTGTGCCGACAAAACATGCTTTTTTTTCATCCATAACATGTCTAATTATGGAAAATTTTGGTTTGAGATTTGAGGTGCATGATAGATTCAGTACTTTTCAAACTCCAAAAACAAGTACTTTGCAAATTTTAGCTTCCTAGACTCATATTGTGCAGATAGGGCATCTTGGGTGTGGAGTAGTATGTGTTCTACAAAATGTGTTATCAAGATTGAAAAAATTGGAAATGTTTTGAGTGTGGATTGCTGGGTAGAGAAGTGGTGTGTCTCTGTTGCCTATTAGAGCAAGAAAGACTATTCTACCCATTGGATCAGACCTACATAAGGGATTCTATCAACTTTGACGGTGCATGTAATGCTCCTTCAATGAAATGTGGTAGAGGCTTAGTTTTGAGGAATACCAGGACTGAAGCTTTTAAATTGGCTTCAGTTTTTCTGCATCGTGTGAGTAGTGCTGGTTTGTCAAAGATTTTTTTTTTTATAATTTTTTAAAAAAAATTTATGGGCAAGAGGATGAGAATTTATTTAATAGACGGCATAAAATCAATGTACAACTGAGTTGGGGCATCCCAAGGAAAATAAATTCATGAAAACTCCAGCTCCACCAAGTAAAGAGCATCCAGAAAATAAATCAGAAATTCAAATAAAAGAAAGATAACATAAAAAGAGAAACTGGGCATTTCATTTCCCTTAAACAGACGATCCATACTAGAATACATATTTTTTTTTTGCAGCATAAGTTCCTGATGGAAGCATACCAAGAAATTTCGAGACCATGATCAAGAAAGAAGCAAAGATACAACAGACAACAAAGCAAACAACTGGAAGAACCATACTGTCAAAACGACATTTAGAATCCTGTGTACACTGTAATAGAATGCCATCCCAACCCATAGCATCAAACTGAGCTTACCTATGCAGTAAGCAGAAATAGGCCAGAAGCAACAAAAAAACATAGATCAACAGCAAAAGTTGATTTTTGGAATGCAACAGAGTTCCACACTGCTTGCTACACATCATAACAGAATTGATCCTCCAAGCTTTGCACAACCATTTATTGGGGTGAGAAAGAGGAAGCTCTGCATCTCACTAGATCCGTTGCTTCTTTTTGCACATATTTCTATTCATTCTACAATTCTCTCTCATGCCATATAACATAAATTGCAGCAACAAAGGCTAGTTTATTTACCTTAGAAATGAGGTTTTTACCTTTCAATGCCAAAGCAATCTATATAGTACCATAATCTGCTAGTAAACATGAACTCAAAAAACAAATGATTCCTATCCTTATTTTGATAATAAAAAATACAAATAAAAATACAAATAAAATAAAAACAGCTCACATCCTTTATAATGCCCATACTCACCAACCTCTTTTGAGTAAGCAACCTGTCATGTATAACCAACCATAAGATGAATGAATGTTTTGGAATAGCATCTGGAAACCAAACAATGTCAGCCAATTCCACTGTACCTTGTTTAGGTCTAATCTTCTCCCAAGCAGATTTAAGATTAAATTCACCTCTAGTAGGAAGCCAGATTAAGCTATCCTGTTGATCAGTTTTAGAGGGCCAGTTTTAAGGAAAATTTCTTCCGATTTCAGTCCATTCCAAGGTATTTGTGACATCCCGGATTTTTCGGATATTTTTCGGGCATTTTTTTTTTTTTTTTTTATCTGTGCACGGGGATGCATGCCACGAGAATTATTTAGGAAGTTTCTTCGGGTTTAGAATCCTTAAAAACTCATTTGAGTTCATTTCGGCCAGTTTCAATTTTCGTGCCCGGAAGGTGTTGTGTGGGCCCCATGACAAATTTCAGTTTTCTAAAAATTTCTCCGACATAACTGTGTTCTTCATTTATGTTGGGATTATCCATTTTGCACTGCGTTATATCGTTTGCGAGCGTTTGGTATTTAAACGGGCTGTACGTTTTGGGATGGGAATATAAATTATACAACAGATCAACCTAATGTGGGGGGCAATGTATTTGCTGGTTCCAGCACATCGGTCCGTGGAGGCACCAAGTTCACCCATACAACCACCAACTTCATCGAATGGTAAGTCTACTTGTATCTCTATTAATTTCTTAATATCTTATATACATTGTGTTTCCAACGCATTTTCTCTTATACTGATCTGGCTATAATCCGTTCACATATATAAGTAGCTTAGTTGATTTTTATTTTTTCACCAAAGCATTTCACTTAACTAGATCGAATAAGATTGCTTACCATCTAGTATGCCATGAAGAAATTGTAGGGCATCCAAGGGGTACCACCTCAAGAAATATAATACAATTTGAATGTCATTCAACAAGGCGCTTATCATTCAGCTTCCAAAATCGAAAATCAAAGTAGACAAAAAAATTACACCTCAATCCACAAGTTTTGATACTAAATTTTGCCAATGTTATTAATAATTTTTCAGACTTGACAGAATTTGGGTTTAAAAACTAAAAAGACTAGAGTCGACTTTTCTAGATTTGAACATTATTTAGAAATGCCCATTAATTTACGACAAGCGTGATGTTCCAAGATTTATTGCAAATCTCATGTCAAGAAGTCAGAAAGCCAACTAAAGAAATATAATTCACGTAATTTAGAAAATCTTCTGAACCTTCTTTTGATCAGTCAATGACACGGCTTGACAGCCTTGACAGGCCTATTATATTATACTTTCCAATAATTAATAATTGTTCCTTCTCATAACATTACTAGATAATAGAGCTTTCCATGCACAAGCTGCTTTTGGTTATGGCTTCCCTGAAGGCAGGCTCTATGAATCTAATGTTGCTTCTTTCTTTCACATTGATCGATCTTATGCTGCCTTGGATTCGATTCCTCCCTTGTAGCAGGAGCAAGCACGATCCGACGCGGTGATGAACTCAACTCCTCTGCTAGTCCTCTTGTTTCTGAAGGTGGGTCTTCACCATAGGATTCTTCACCATCCCCATCGCGAACGTTAATGGTTATTTAGGAATATGGCACACCAATGACAAAGAAAATTTATATCCCTATGATTCCGATCCTATGAACCCCTTATCAATTTTAAGTAGAATTTTGATTTTAACAACCTTGTTTATAATATATGAGTATTTCACTCTATTTAATTCTAACTGATCTTGAATTGGTTTGCTTATCAGAATCATCCCTTGGCATCCATTTTGCCTCTTGGGAGTCGAAAACTTCTCTATTGTATCAAAGACAGGTAGTTAAATATACTATAGTGAGAATGACAAAATTCTTAATATAAAAGCAATCGGTTTCACCAGGTTTCTCGTAACATTGATATGCCAAAATATGTTGGACAATGCACCTCGTAATGTCATTACTTTTCTTTCTTATTATTATTATTATTATTATTATTATTATTATTATTTTAATAAATACTCGTAGGTTCGAATATCAAAATTTTTACAATACACTAAAGAACAATGGGTAATTGGCTCATCACCACTTTAAGTAATTAAAATATGTTTTATAACCACCTTAAAAACTCTCCAAATTACATTGCATAGGAAAAATGTCCGTAAATAAAATGATTTTTCAGCATTTTTTATTTGCATTTTTTTTATGCACATATTTTGTACTATTTGAAGTGGTTATGCCGAAATCTACATGTCACTACAAGTCCACTCTTTAGCATTAAACCCACGTGCACCAAAAAAATATTTGTCTAATAATAAGCAAAATCAATTAATACGATTTTCACTGCATAAATTAATAATAAAAAATGTTATTATGATTTTGATATTGCCTCCAAGGATTACAAGACAAAATGACCATCTCTTATGCATATGCAACAAACACTCAACTTTGAAAGGGCAAAACAGGCATCCGTAAGGGTATTTTTGTCCAAACAATCAGCTCAAAGAGTCATCACTTTAACACCAGAATTCCTACTTTTCAAAAGAGGATAATTCGCAACTTTTGGTGAATTGAGGAATTAAAAAAAAACAAAACAAAACTAGCAGAGGGGGGTATTTTGTAATTTTTGATAATAAAGTTGAGTTCAGTACAATTTGGCATCTTCTTCAGTTATAGCAGTTTAAGCATAAATATTTCAAATTTTTATTTCACTGTAGATGACTTCTAACACAATTTGAGATCAACAATCACACGAGACATGAAACAATTTAGCATGAAATCTTATCCACTATGTGAAGAGAATTACACACACAACTCTTTTCTTCACACACTCACAGTGTTCTATCTCACAGAGTACAAACTCACACTGTTTTTCCACTAAAACTAAAGGTCAATAGTGCTTTACAAACTTATACAAAAAAGATAAAATAAAAAAATAAAAAAAAAATTTCGGTCAGAAAAAACACAATTTCAGTCAGAGGACAGAGAAGAGGATTTGAAGTACTTCATAGCTTGTAGAGAGGGCTTCTGATCAGAGTATAATCAAGATGAAATGCTTCTAAACTTTGATCTGCAGCAGATGTGAAATTGCAGAGAAGAGGATTTGAAGTACTTCACAGCTTGTAGAGAGGGCTTATGACCAGAGTATAATCAAGATGAAATGCTTCTAAACTTTCGGCACAATCACTTGCTTCAGCAGAAGACTTTGGAATAGACTGGATATAAGTGAGATTCTCTTGCTGTTAAAGATCAAAATCACCCAAAAATAGAGCTTTGGAGGGAATGTAATATTCAGTTCTAGATCTTTTATAAATCAACACTTTATGCTCTTTGACATTTCTGCAAAAACATCTGTTTTAAATTGCAGCTGATATATATACATATATATGTATATGTATGTATGAATGCACAGCCAATGATAACATTTCAAAATTGCTGTTAGAGATAACTGCCAAGGGATAGGAATAGAGAAATGCAATGCCCTGAGGGGGAAAGAATTTCAACTGCTAGAAAGACTTGAAAAGACCAGAATGCCTCTTTGGCTGAAAATAATTATCCTCTATAACAGAAAATGGACTCTTTCAAAGGTAATTTTTACTTCAAGTTTGAGATATGGGATCAAACCATTTTTGCCAAGAAAAGAACAAATCAGAAAAACGAGGGGCAACCAAAACTAACATGGAATGAAGTGATAAGAAATGATTTTAAAAAATTAAGTTTAGTAGGAGATGTACCTTATGATAGAAAAGAGTGGAAAAGGAATCCATGTGGTCGATCCCGATTGTAGGATAAAGGCATGGATGATGACGATGACGATGACGATGACTTAAAAATGAAGGCTTGTAGATATGGGGCTAATATATTGGTTGGCAGTTGCTCTTAAATGGGAACCTTCATATCAAAAGCAAAGAATAAAGTATGATCCATATTTTTTTATTAAAAACTGGGCTGATTTTGTGTACATTAAGAACTGAATAAACTTTCATCATACCTTAAATATGCAAACTTCTTTATTCGTTTTTTTTCCCCTTGAATAATTTTTAGCCAATTTCGTCACAAATCCAACGGAGCATGTACCAAGAAAAATGCTTTTAATCACCCATTCCAGGTACAGACTCTTCACCTGAGGCGTGCGAGATTAACAAATGGTTCTGGCTTCGTTTTGGGAGCATTCACGGCCAATTTAGGAGTTCCAAGCACGTTCCACAATAGTGTCTCATTCGCTGCTGCAGATGCAATTGTACCCCCATCTGGACTCTGAAATGCATCCATCAAGAAAGGGGAGTGAACAAAATAGAAAACCTATTATTCATAAAACAAGAACAGGACTAAAGCATATGATTTATTGATGACCCAACTCACCTGAGCCATATGAAGAACTCTTGATGTATGACCATAAAGATCTATAATCTTGACCATAGAAGGATACTTCCATAGGGTAAGTTGGTTATCATTGAAGCCATGAGAGCTCATTAGCTCACGTTCATGTTTGTTCCAAAGCAAGCAACAGACCTGTGAACCTGTATTTACTGAGTTCAGGCGTGATCCAGTGTTGGTGTTCCAAAACTTTATGCACTGGTCTCCTACACCACCACCAGAGGCAAGCAGATTACTCTGGAAAGGACACCAGGAAAGAGCTTTCACAGCGTCTCTGTGGTCTTTTAGGCAGTGAATCCACTTATTGGCAGAATTTTTAGAGGTCATAGAGATATGCCATATGTAGAGGAGACTGTCCTTCCCCCCACTTGCTAGTTGCTGGCCTGATGCAGACCATTTGAGTCCACAAACCTCCTGACAATGTCCCCTATATGTTCCAACATTGCTGGATCTTATTCTTACATCATTGTTTATGATCAAACTGTCCATTCCCCCAGTTGTAAGGATGTGATTGTTCCAATCGAGTGAACCAACCCTTAAACTATGCCCATCACGCAAATTCCTCAGCTGTTCAGAAGAACCAAAGCATATTAGAGTATAGGATGGAGAGGTGGCACCAGAAAATTACAAAGCTATAATGCCTAGATCATGAGAAATTTGCAATAAATACATTTCATTTCACTCCAAAATAAAAAATATAAAACTCATAATTCTAAGAATACTGTTTTCTAAAATATATAACAACTTTACAAGCCATAATCCTTCAAACTGTCCACTTTATCCATTACACCAATATAATAAAATCTTCAACGATACATGCCTTATTCAACCTTGCAGTTCACCACTATACCTGACTTAGTTCTCTTCCAAACTAAATAGAAGGTAAAAGAAATTACCAACTTTATCAAAAGTTAAATTGGATATAAACGACACATCGTGTTGCATGTAAATATACTTTTTTATTTTAGTTTTTCTTTTTCCACAAAAAATGCAGTTTTTTTTTTTTTTTTTTTTAGAGAAACGTTCAAAAGCCCAATCTTTCCTTAGCACCTAACTATCATGGATAACATGAGTTCATGAAATAACAAAGGCCTCTTTTCCTGAAATTGAATATTTCGTTCCACTAACCTCTCAGGGTGTGAGTATGCATTTTCTTTATTGTTAGCCTTTTTCCTCTGGTTTAAATTTTCTTTCACTGAGATCGCGTTTTGAATCTTATTATATATGATCTCATTATTAGTAATTTAATGTTACTTGCCAAAAAAGGGGACACATAAAAATAAAAAATAAAAAAACAATAACAACAAAGACCGGAGTTTCTTACATCTAGTCAAAAAATTTTGTCATCCTTTTTTTTTTTTTTTTTCACAGAACAACATTCAAATAGAATGCCAACTTTTCACCATGCATCATCTAATTACTGACAATAATAAAACAAAGCATAAATGATCGATAAAATGTAAAAAAATAAAACACTTTTTAAAGAAAACTCTTACCATCCGACCAGATGAAGAGTCCCACAGCTGGATGTGGGAATTATTTAAACCAACAGCAAGATGTACTCCATCCGGTGCCCATCTGACACTTGTCACTGGTCCAATTTCTTCATCTGTCACAAGAAGTTCAGAAGTAGACGAATTAGCAGCATTCCACAAATATACTGAATTCCCAACAGCGATAGCGACAATGTTACTGCTACTCCAATCCAGTAAATTCAAATTAAAGTCATCTAAGAGCTTAGGAGCATCAAGAGTCCTTTCCGAAGACTGTTAAATTACCAAACAAACACAAGTCAACAAGAAAGCAATCAATTTAAAAGAAGCTATCACTACATATGCAACCAAAAAAAAAAAAAAGCAGAGAGGAAGATATAAACACCACAAATCAGAATGAGAGTTTAGCAAAATAAAATAAAATAAAATAAAATAAAAATTAAAAAAAAAAAAAAACCACTTGGGGAATATCTCCTAGACTTAGTGGGTTTGGATTGGTGAAAGGTTGAGAATGATTCTTGATAACTATCTACTAGAGGAGGCGGTTTGTTCTTAAAAGCAAGGATCCTTGTTCTGTGAATCTTTTAGGTTGGGGTGGAGGAGGATCCAGGAAACCCCAAAGATGTTATATTGTGAATCTTTTGGTCATTCTACCAAATCTTGCTCTTCTAAGCCCACTACTAAGCATAAACAAAAATGGAGAATGAAGGAGAATTTGTCTCTAGACCTAATTTGAATGAGTGCGAGGGAGTTATAAAAGAAAAAGGGAGAAGTGTTGTGGATCCTCCCACTGAGGAATTGAGAAAGGAGAGCTCTAAAATGGCTAATACCTATTGCTTCATTGTCAAACATATTTGAATCCCCCTCTCCTTTCAAGGTATCTTCAATTGCAACCCCTGAAGAGTTAAGAGCTGTGGTTGCACATGTCTCAAGAGATTATGGGGCCTATTGATTATGAGGTCCAAGGGCCATCTCCCGAAAAAGAAGAGCCCAAAGCAGGGTATTATGATATCAATTCTTTAGCTGAGAGTGTGTCCTGAACCTTATTGAGTGTGTTTCTCTGAATAAGGAAATAACTACTACAATAGACCGTTATAGATCCAAATTTCAACGAATAAAAAAATATATATAGTGTGTTTTTCTCTGAATCTTCATGTTGAATCCCACTATACAGGAAAATCCAAACCAATAAATCCGCAGGACTATGAATTAAAAAATCATATAATCATGTAAAAGATATAGTTGTGCAGAATCAATACAAGTTGAAGAACTAAACAATAAATTTCTGAGAATTCATAATCACTCTATGCTAAAAAATGCTAAAGAAACCCTATGTGACAAAAGATCAGAATCCTAAAATATGCTAAAGAAACCCTATGTGACAAAAGATCAGAATCCTAGAAATTAATGGTAACATCCACCACAAAATTCTAAAAAGAATGCAAACAACACTCAACCGTCTAAACAAATAGAAAAATTCATAAGAAGAAGAAACCCTAGTTCACAATAAATCCAAAAATCCAAGAAATTCACGAACACATAAACCAAATAAATGAAATCAAATGGAATTCCATACAAAATCTTGAAGAAATTATACTAAAAACACAAAGCTAAATGTTCATGCAAGCAGATGGAAATACATACGTTTTCACGCGACTTTTTCCTTCGAAGTTTTCGATTGGAGAGAGGAAATCGCAACATTTTCGTACCAATTCCTGTATCCAAAAACAGTTTCAGAAACAGAACATATATAGATAATATATATATGATATATCAAAATTGTATAGAAAGAGTAGAAATCCAGCAAAACATGAACAAGACTAAAAGTTAGAGAGAGAGAAGAAGAGCGTTAATGAAGGAGTTGTGCGTTCGAGAGATTTTTCAGAGAAAAATAGCGAATTGTAACTAGGGTTTTTTCTGCGAATTGTGAGTAGGGTATTTCAGGAAATCTGGCAACGGCTATATAAACACGACTATGAATTTGTGACGAAGCGGTTGAACAGCTATGAACCGGTTTTTATTTTAGGTCAACCAAAACCCTTTACATTTAAAGTATTATTATTATTATTATTATAATAAACTGTTGATTTTATTATTATTATTATTATTATTATTATTATTATGTAATGCCTTCTCATTATTAAATTATTTTTTATTATATTTTCTCTTAATTAAATATTAATTATATTATTTAACTTAATTTTTATAATTCGTATCAATTGAGTATAAAAATGAAAAATAAATAAATAAATTTGTAATTATCATTTTCTAAAATGATTAACTTATCATACTCTCTTTAAAAAAAATTAGTACAAAAAAATATCTTCTTTTTCAAATAATATTTATGAAAAATTAATTAAATACGTAAATAACAAATATCTTCTTTTTAATACAATATATTCATGAAAATTAAGAAATTACTTAAATTGTTTCAAATTTTTTTATTTAAATAATTAATTTAAAAAATTAAAAGTAAACTTATGCAAATTTAATGGAGAATATTTCATCAGATTAGTATGAATTTTTTTTCATAATTTATTTTAACAAGAAAAATATATCAAGTGTAATTCAATAAGAAAGTGTATTATGGTTATTTAATGAAAGTTTAGAATGTTTTATGTACAAAACATAATTGAGGGGTTATTTGTAAATTTAGACATAGTTGAGGGGAGTTTTTTGCACTTTACCTTATTATTATTATTAAGTAATGTTACTGAGACGTTGATTTTATGACCGTGGTCATCAACTCTATTGCACATTTTGAAGAAAAAAAAATTATTAATTCCCAAAGTATAGTCAGGTTGCCAATATTGAAGTGATTTCATTGTAAAATAAAATTGTTTGAGATGGTCAAATGTGATAATTTAATTTGTTCAAATAAAATCAAAAGAAGAAATTTAAAATTTTAGTGGTGTTATTTAGTGAAAATGATTTTTTGTATGAATTTTTTTATTACAATTCATATACAAATTTTTTTGAAACGGTTAAATATGCGTCTTAATATATGAACATGATCATGACAAAAAGACAAAAAACTCGTAAGAATTGTCATGAGCTCAACATTATAATATCATTACCTTCTTTTTTTATCTTTTTCTTTTTAAGGATAAATAAATAAAGAGAGTTTATACCAATAAACCCTTTTTTTTTTTTCTTTTTTTTTTCTTTTTGTTGAGATTTCCTTATCCATGTAATTAAGGTTAGCCTATGTTCCAATAGCTTTTCTAATTTAACCATATTGTTCTTCTCTGTGGATTTTAAATAATAGAATTGCAAATTACAACAATTTAGAGTAAACATCATAATTCAAAAGAGAAAGAATGTCAATTTTGTGCTCAGAGAGAAAAGTTTTCGCTCCTATCTGCTTCGTGAGGAGAAAAGATTCAATGCAGTAGGAGCATTTGGACCGTCTGTGTACATGTATTACACACGCAGTAATGAACGGTTGGATGTACCCGTTGCACCGTGCAACATGCACAATGAAAATTTTCTCCTTGGTGATTCAAGCCTCTTCTTGTATTTTATGCAGTTAGGTTCATTTGGAAAGGGTCTTGAGAGAATCCTTCATATGTCTAAGCACCTGGAGGGGTTGACATGTACTCTCATGCCCTTTCCATTGTGCTTGGAAGAGCTGCATTTCTTCCTAGTTCCACCTTTTGAAACCCTTCTTGTAGAGTTTGTTGTTTTGCTAATTGAATCATTAATTTAATTGATGTTGCTATCGTCATCTTTAGGTACATGATCAATCTACAGGGGGCCGAAACATAATCTGTATAGCTAGTGAAGTTAATGCAGTTGGACTGTTAAGGGATAAAGGAGGGTGGATGTATGGAGAGTGATGGAGAGAGGTCAACTGTTTAGTTTGTGATTTTTTAATTTGACAATGGTATGGAAGGATGGGCAATTGGAGAAAGTGTATAATACGTGGTATCGAGCCCAATGCACAATCATGTCTTCCTCTTCTTCTTTTTTCAAAAATTGCACATTTTTCGTATATGAAGACAAAATGAGAGTTATTGAGGGTATGGAGTATACATTCCCTCGAGTATTGTATACTTTTTCTGGTTATTGCATTACCACATGTAAATACATTTGTTGCTGCATGAGCACTCTGTTGAAATTAAAGTTTTAATGGAAAATCTTTGTAATGGAAATTTCCAAATATTTTATAAAACATTAAGAGCAATGCATCAAAATTTATTCATTCACAATGAATTAATATAATATATAATGAATAATTTATTACCGAATAACTATGAATAATATATAAATATCACTTTGCAAAAAAAAATGTTACATCAATATGAACAAGAGCAAAACACTAATATAATCTCAACCACACAATGTTAACATAATAATAAAATTAAGAAATGAAAACAACAATAGTAAAGTAAGGAAGAAAGAGCTAACCTGATAGATAAGTTGATATTCCTCTTCTTTGTGGGTGTTGGCGCACTAGTTAATTTCAATATTCAACTCAATCAAGTTGCAATAGTGTCTCCTCACCACAGAAAGACCAGGTCAAGTCTTTATGTCTCGTTGCACATAAACTCATAAAAATACTCAAATACACACGTACGTAAGGATGAAAATTTTCTTAATCATAATCAAATATATCATATGTAACCATTTTATATTGTAAAAGCATATAATGATATGACAACATTAAATATAGAATTAATATGGTATTAAAATCATTATATTAAATATAATTCTATATCTTTATCTTATTAATATGTATATCTTCTACTCTTCAATTTTATTATCATGTATTAATTATTAGTAGCATGTGTATATCTATTGATCTGTTTTGCTTCCTATGATATTGTTTTATAATGTCATTTACTTATATTCTTTCATGTTGGGGCAAAACATATTTGATCAAAACACTAATATAGACACAAGTTAGGGCTATACATCCTAATTATCGATCTTATTTTCAAAGTATTGTAAGTTTAATACCCCATCTGGAATGAGTACATATCTCTATAATCTCTTTCAAAATTTCTAAGATTCACCCCTTGCTAGTATTTGTTTCATACCCCAAGAATGCAATAATTTAAAAAGGACAAGACTTATCAGTTCATCATACTGATGTGGTCTTATTTATAATAAAATTCAATCACTCACTGATTTCTTTATTTATTAAAATTTTGATTTTGTAATTGCATACTATGTGTTTTTGTGATTGGATCACGTTAGCGGTCAGTAAGACTTACTCACCGCTGAATAGGCAAGTCTTTTCCCCTTAAAAAAAAATATATTAATAATAATAATAAGGTTGGTTCTATCCTCCATGTATATCGGAGCTTCTGGAGGACTTAGGCATTAGTCCTACTTCTATTTGGAGGGTTCCTTTTTGCACCCATGGATGTTCTAGATGGAGTTCAAACTTCAGCTCCAGGTGCACATACACACACACACAAAATAATAATAATAATAAAAAAATAAAAAATAAAAAATCAACTCATGGAGAGGCTGTTGAAATTTACATGTAAATTGAATGGCCTTCGAAGATCAAAGAGCACTTAGAGATTTATTTGTTTCCCCGCAAAAAGTTGGTAATTTTGTGTCTTGGCCAAAAACCAACATTTCTTACTTGAAGTTAAAATTGGAGAAAATATAATTTAAATTTTAAATTTTTTTTGGTTCAATTCCAAATCTTTAATTTCACGCAAACGAATATAGTGTTAGATTAATTATTATTTTTCTTATGCTGAAATGTCCATCACAGCTGAGAGAAGATTGTGACACTGGTGATTCCTTTTGATACTGACACCATATAATTAAATTAATCTACTTCTTAACTCTCCAGAGTAATTCGTTTTTAATAAAATATCAAATTAATTAGCAATGTTGTGCTCCAACTAATTAGCAATCAACAAACGTCTGTTAAAATTGGGCAGACACCCTTAAGCATTTTTCACAATTTCTGGTTTTTTGAAATCTATTATTTGTTTATTTCATCTCTCAAAATCTCCCAATCTTTTCATCAATCAGGTTTTTGGGCCAAACTGGACTCCAACGCCAACGCACAAGCCCAGTCCACCAGTTTGGAAGGCTGGGACAAAATGGCCTGAGAACTAGCTTGGGATGATAAAAAGCTTGATGGCCCGATAACTACACGCCGAAATTGATTATTTAGGTGTTTCATGCAAAAATTTACAGTTCTTTTATTTTGAAGACTGGATTTTAAATTTTATTTGAATATACAACTTGTTGGTTTGAAGTTTCAATTAAGATTTTTTTTATTTAAAATTTTAAAACAAAATATTTATGAAAATTTAAAAATAAAATTTATTTAAATAATTGTAATATTAGAGAAAACTAATCTGAAGATTTTTTTAGTTTCCAAATGAATTTTATTATGAAATCAGTGAACATTATCATCATAATTATTCCATTTTGATTCTGGTGTATCATCATGTCTAAGGTTAACTCTAAATACTTAGATTCTTTCTTATAATATGTTGAAAAGATAAATTTAACAAAGTTTACTGTCGTCTTCAACTACAATTTATACATTTTTAAAAAAAGGAAAAGATAATTAATATTTTTGCTTACACAAACAAAAATTAAAAAATAAAAACCCAGCTAAGCATAACAAAAAAACGAATATATGATAAGCACAAAAAATTCTTGTAATGATTCACATTAATGCAACTCGTTCCAAATAATAAATATTTTTTTGTTATTAATTAGAATGAAAACCAATATAATATTCAAAGTCTTAAACTAATCTAAACCAATATCATATGGAGTGACACTCTGGAACTTTCTATGTAGTCAAGATGCTCTATGAGCTTCAACATGAGTGGTCCGGTTCATGAAAAGGGATTTAGATAAATCAACCTGACATATACAATACACAGGTATATATCTCAGTAAATTCTTCAACATTTCGCTCCTCTTGTTTGGATGTAAAATACTTTTTATAAAATATTTTTTTATTTTCTAATATTTGATTATCGTAAAGTATTTAGGAAGAAAAAAAATATTAAAATTTAACAAAAATAACTT